CTCAACTCTGCTGTTACTACTCTCTCTCGCTCTCCCTCTCGCTCTCACTCTCTTTTTTCTAACTTTCTCTAACTCTCGCTAACTCTAATTCTGTCTTCGTCTATCTCAATCCCAACAACTACCATTTTCTTTCCTTTTATATATATATATATTTTTTTTCGGCTTCTCTCTCTCTCTCTCTCTCTCTCTCTCTCTCTCTCTCTCTCTACCTTTTCGACTGCCTAGCACTTTCCGCTGAATTTTCTCTTCCTTGTTTTACTTGTTTTCTCCTTTTCTTTTTTTTTTATTTTTATTTTTTCGACGTAGTTTTTGTTTCTCTTCTCTTTTTATCCTTCTTTCTCTTTTCGATTTCTTTTTTTCTTTTTTTTTTTCTACTCCTCAATTTGTTAGGCAATCAAAAAGGATTTTATTTGCGGCCTGTTACGTACATCTCGTACGTCTTTATGACGATATATATATATATATTTTTTTTTTCCACGACATCGTACAAATCGTTTTGATAACAATTAACAAATTTAATCGAATTTTCAAAAGAAATCTATTCTCGCAAAGATCATTGATAAATGATTCGACTTGTTTATATATATATATATATAAATATATACAAAAATATCTCTTGTAGATTTGTCTGTAATAGTTAATCAGGTAATTTCTTCGTCGTGTCTTATAAGGTACGGTAGGGATAATAAAAGAATGAGAGAAAGAGAAAGAGAGAGATATACAAAAAAGAAGAAAATTGAAAAAAGAAAGAGAGAGAGAGAGACAGAGAGAGTATAAAAGAAAATAAGAATTATTCCCTACGAATGCATAAACATCGAGGATAAGAGGATCGCTTCCGCTCGACTTGCCTTTCTAAAAAGGGGAAAGGAAGGAAGAAACGAGTAAGAAACGAAGAGAGAGAGAAAGAGATAGTGGCAGAAGGGGGAATGAAAGGGAATAAGAGGGGGATAAGTTTGAGGAAAACGTCGAAAGGAAAAGGAAATAATAAGAAGATAGAAAGAAGAGGAGAACCGGCGCGACCAGGCAAATGCGGCCAATAATCGTTGATAATTTATTAAGGGTAAAAATACTCGCGATCCCCGGCCCTACAGAGGATCTCTGCGTTATTTAAGAAAATAAATATTTGATATCTCAAACACAAAGAACTCTCTTCCCTCTCTCTCTCTTTCTCTCTCTCTTTGTTCCTCTTCCTTTCTATAATCTTTTCCTCTATGTGTTTCTCTCTCTCTCTCTCTCTCTCTCTCTCTCTGTCTCTCTTAACTCGTCGACGAAAGTAAAAGAAAAACGGGAAAGAAAAGAGAGATAGATAGTTAAGGGATAAGAAGAAGAAGAAGGAAAAAAAAAGGAGAAAAAAAAATAAAAAAGGAACAAGAATTAACCCTCCCCCTTCCCCTTCCCTCTTTCACCTACTCAACCATTCACCCACTCACCCTGTCAAATGATACATTTCATTTTTATCATAAATCAATAATATTTATCAAAGGCCAATCGAGAAAATATTTAAATAAACATCTCGAACGATTAACTATGTTAACAGATTAATTTTTTTAACTATCAAATATTGAAATAAAATATTAAAAGATATTTCGTATAATATAAATACTATATTAACGTTTATATTC